CCATCAATCATTGTCTTCAAATTTTCCTATTCTCAATATAGCAACACATATATCATAAGAGTCGTCTATACTAACAATAAAAGCATTCACAATATTATACCAATTAATAAGAGAAAATGTATACAAGGCCAAAAAAAAAAAAAATAGAGAGAGAGAGACAGAGAACATGCATATGTCTAATACATTCTGTTGAAAAACAATTTTGCAGACTAAAACATGAATGCAAATCCAAAAAGTCTGCGTGTCCAATAATAGTGTTACCAAAATAAGAAATCTAAAATTGTCACTGGTTGATTCATAAAAACTACAATAAACCCAAAACACCTGTGATTTATTCCAGTTCTACTTAAAATTGGTCAAGGTTGTCCTAAACTGATTTCTTCAGCTCAGCTAATGTAGTGAAGACTAAGAAAGTGACTCAAATAAGAAACTTAATTTTGAGAGAAAAAGATTAGCACATATAACAGCAAGAAATACTTTAAAAATATATACAAGATAAAAGACTTCCAAGCACCTATAGTATACTTGATTGCAAATCCCTGTCCCATTCAAAAGTCAAAATTTTAGAGGAGTAGGATAGCATAAACTCATAACTGATATGGAATAGTGTAGCTCTCCTATAACTGGTAAGTTTCTAACCATATAATTTCACCATATCATGAAAATTATCCTGGAAAAAGCCAGAGTAGAGACAGTGTCAATGCCGAGTGAGAAGCATGTACCCTTTCAATAGAAGCTGATCATGGACCACGGATTAATAATAGTGCGGGGGGACTTTCAGGACGGACAGCTTGTTCTATAACCCTCTGTTTGGACGACTTTTTTCTTCTTTTTTTTTTTTTAATATTAATAGCCTTGCAGTCAAGTGCTAAAAGAGTAATTGGCATTCAATATCTATCAAGACTTACTATTATGACGCACCCACCCTGTATGCTTGTGCATTTATCAACACTTAATATCTTAAATGTTCCACAGATTGCCTTTCAAAGGCCAAGTCATACAAAACACCAATGTCTTTTATCATGTTCTACCAAAATTAGAGATCATCTGAGACAAAGTAGGCCTCATGGATATCACCAATACCACTACAAAATTTAAAACCCTAGAAGCTATACATTTTGGATAAGATTAGAATCCATAATTCTCAATACTTCAGCAAGAGCAGCATTATTCACTGTTCAGTTACTTGTATGTGCAACTTGTCATTCTCTATTGCTTATTTGAAGAAATGTATCTTCTGGGTTTTACTTTGTGGAGAAGCAGTTGCTTCTGCAAAAATATGTAAAACTCTCATCATATTCTCCTAACACTTATAAGGTGCTGTGTAAAAGGAAATAAGGAATCCTTTACCTTTATCACAAACGTCTTCAACCAAGTCATTCATTGTCCCCACTTTACCCCAACTAATCCACTAATTTGACAAAAGCCATGCCGCAAAGCAATTAAAGTTGGTCACCCCGCACAAATTTTTCTTTTTTTTCATAATACTTTTAACTGAATTTTGGATTGTGACTTTCGACCAAACATGAGCTTTCAATTTCAGTTCATATTGCTCCCACACATTCATTAATCAAAATTTTCCTTTCCTCTAAGGAAGGGTCCAACATAATCATGAACAAACTAGTGAACAATTCATCAAAACCCAAAATTTACACGCAACAATCCATCTATGTACCTTTTGCACACCCCAGTTCCCACATGCTAGCTAGAACCTCTTTGTTAAGGCCTATATACTTGCACATTTACTTGTATTCCAAAATCATGAGCATGATGGCAACCAAAACAAAGCCACAAACTCAAAATTGGATATACTCAATATGGTAGGTCAAATTTCAGTACTACAATAATACAATCAACAACAAATACAATCAACTTATACTTTGCTGTTCAAAAAAAAAAAAAAAAATACAATCAACAACAATCATAGAAAAATGCAAGAAATTTGATTGGTTCAGGCTTCTAACCTAGGCAATAAAACGAGATCAAGTTGTTTGTAAGGTTTGTCCATTTGATGGCAACCATAGCCTGGTATACTTGCCATGTTTCTTCCTGAAACCATGTCAAAACCATGAGAATTGCTTCAGAAACAATGTAAATGCTCGAAAATGGCCCGAAGAGGAGGTAATTTACCTTGTTTGGGTGCTAAGAAAAAGTAGGAAAGGAAAGGCTGAATTCGAGAGAGATGGAAATCTTTGTTTGGAATCAAAGAAAACGAAAAATCTCAAATCAATTTTTACCGATTGAGCATTTGTTTTCTAATTTCGCCTTGACTTTCTCTTGAATCTTCCCAGCCACTGTTGAGATTTTGTCGCGTGATTTGCAAGTTTCCGGAAAAGTACGGCGGAAGCTAGCCTGAAAATCCCCGGTCCGGCTACTTATCGAAACGAGGTCGTTTGGTATTTAAGGTTTTAACTGCAACTCTATGGCAAAAATTTTTGGGCTGGGCCATACAGAACCTCTCCATCCTCAGACTTCTTATTTATTTATTTATTTATTAACGGAACAGAAAAGGCCTTTCTAATTCCAAGGAATTGAAGTTGAACCCAGACAACGAACATGGGCCTGCCTCTGCCGATCCAGTTAAGGCCTATTTAAAAAATAAACAAACAAAAAATCAAAAAACTAGGAAAAATGATTCTGATTGGGGGCATGGTCATTCCCACTCATGTATTTTGGACAAAAAATGGTAGGTATTTTTGGTTTGATTATCATGAATAGTGAGTAGTTATAATTGTTAATTTATAATTTATAAAATAATTAATATTTATTACTAGTATTTAATAATTTAGAATCAGATTATATGATGTATTTCTAAACATCTTATCCAATTATAAATTGGTAAAGTTAATTAAGAAATTTTAGATTACAGATTACATGTATATTTATTATATATTTTTATTATTAATTTCTATTAAAAATAAAAATTAATTTTAATTTATCAACTATCTAATTATAGAATCAGATTATATGATGTATTTCTAAACATCTTATCCAATTATAAATTGGTAAAGTTAATTAAGAAATTTTAGATTACAGATTAAATGTATATTTATTATATATTTTTATTATTAATTTCTATTAAAAAATAAAAATTAACTTTAATTTATCAACTGTTTTATTAAATTGTTTTACGTGATATTAATATTAAAAAATTTTAGTTTTTCAATTTTTTACATAAATTAATAGTAAAAAAAATGTAATAAATACATCCATTCCTTTCTCCTTTTTTCTCAATAAATAATTAAATAAAAAATAAAGTTAAGAGAATTTTTTTCTCTCTTTTCCTCTCTAATTTTTTTGATAATTAAATAAAAAATTTTGTTTCTGTATTTCTTTTAATCCAAACATATTATAAAGCA